TATAGGCTTTAAATCACGTGTTTTTATAGTTAATTATATGATTTGGTTTGGACTCGAAGTCCGAGTATTTTTCTGTTTATAAATACCACTAATTCTTACGTCTAATGGACTGACGGTTTGAATATATGTTTAGTAAATAAATTAATTTTTAATTATTATTATTATTATTATAGGAGAGCTTACTGTCGATGAGTTTAGTCTATGTTTTAATTACATTATTATTATCATAATTAGCACTCATTTCGCGATTTTATGAGATATTTGTAAAATAAACACAATTGAAGAGCTGTTTCGAGCGCTGAAGTGAATTACGAGTTGTTTTTGAATATAACTTATTATTAATGAATGTATAATATTATTACAATTAAAGTGAGATTTGAATAACAATTTCCTAAACTCTTTCATAACTAAATGAAAAATTTACTGTAATTTTATCGCCAAATAAAACGATTGTATTTTTTGAGACGCGTTTGAAGTATAAGTTTATTTCAAAAAAGGTTTTCAAAACACTAACGAACAGAATATTCTGTACGCGAAAGGCGTCCGGAATTTGTGGCTATAAATGATAATCACTTTTCGATAAAATAGATTTGATTTGATAGTTTTAATTACTTTTTAAAATAGCGTACAATTGGTGGCAAACAAATGAAATCACAAATAAATACCACAAACGGATCGTCACTTAAATAGCTTCAAATGGCTGAGCAGTGGTTTAAGGAGATCCCGCGGTTTGGGAGTGGTGGCCACACATGTGATGATGTCTTCGGGCTGCTCTCTCCACAGATAGTATTTAACGCTGTTTTGGTCTAATCGGTGGCAAACGTCTTGTAGTATGTCTGCGGAGTCCGCTTTGAGCACCACTTTTGTCATGGAATCCAATTGCGAGACATACTCTTGAGTTTCGGGATCCGTTGACATGTGCTTCACAATGGCGGCCACCGATGCGTGACATGCGTTGCCTTCAAGTGAGACATCAATGGATCAAATAAAGTGATAATTTAGGATACGTTTGGTTTCTAAACGTATGGAGCGTTTACGATACCTATAAGAGCACCGGTAGGCCACTTGAGGTCACCCCTGACCACAATATATTGGACCAAATTCTTGGTCATTGTCTTCGGGTGTCTTCGATTGGCTGATTTGGTGATGAAGTGATTGTTTGGAAGCGATTATCACCACAAGTCTCGACAACTCTTTGCGTGACTGTCACCCAAAACAAGCGTTTCATTGGTTTCTATAGTAACGCCAAACAACACGTGCTTTGAGTGACAGTTCAGTCAAATGTAAACAAAAGCAAAGTTTTTGTCACTTTTTCTGATGAAATACTTGTCAATGGGTTAAGTCATCCGATTTGGTCCCATATATCTTGCGGTCATTTGTTGATCACTGACACAAACACTCTCTGAAACTGTTCCCCAAAAAAAGTCTTGTATTTTATGTTAAGTTTCGGACATTTATTGAACGCTTACTTGATTTCAAGCGCTTTATTGTCGTCCACCACAAGACATCTGATCCGTCACAAGACAATCGGCTCCAGAGGTATG